CTGTTGCTGACTGTGGGGCCTACATCTTCGCATCACATCTTGCCGACTGCAAATCGACGATAAGCACTACTTTCTGTAGTTGGTCTCCGGAGCTGTAGCTCACTGCAGCAAGCACACCAGCTAACTGAACCCAGTCACAATAATAGACGAAGGGGTCATCATCATCAACGATGCAAACGTCAACATCATCGACAATAATGTCGACTCACAGTTGGTCTCCGGAACATTTCTGATTTGTTTCGACGATAAAGTTGCTATCAATCAAACTTAGTTCAACAACAACTACATAACCGAACACCGAGAGCGACTGGGTTTGCCGCTTCTCCACGAGATAAGTGTGACAATCCTGCAGCACATCGAGAACTTAAAGGCTGAGGTAACCACAAGACCTGTGTTGGTCAGCTGCACTACGTTAGCAGCCGTATTGGTTCTCTAAGGGATCGCCCATATAATTCGGCACCATCTAAAAACTAGACAGAAAAACTAGCCAGGCTGAGTTAATTGCAAACATAAAAACGGGAAGTCGGAAGGCTGAGGGCGGCCTTCGCTTAACCAAGGGAGGAGTTAACACAAACAAATCCGCTTCTGCCGATCCCACCGAGGGACCGGATGCCGTTGCCACAAAGTAGCTACATTGCTCGTATTCTTTGACTCCGATGCCTCGATTGCGCGCGCTGAGTGACCATCCAGAAGTAGTCACGTGGCGCTAGATCAGCATTCTGCCGAAAGGGGTGCCGCGGCATAAGGTCTTTGGATAAATTAGCTTTTAATTTAGTGTTTAAGATTGCATTGAACAGAGCAGTTCGTGCCTTATTAAACTTTCTGATGAAAACTCCAAGTGTTTGGTATTAGCGGTACGGCGAGCACTTGTTAATTTTCATATGTCGCAGTTCGTAATCCTTTTCAAGTCTGCGTTCTAAGGCCAAAAACCGACGTTTTGCAGCCTCAAATCTGTCAACCCTACGCATATTCTGTTTAAAATTTCGCACACAATTTCTTCAGCTGTATATGCAGCCTTCGACTTCTCTGGGATGTGTTCTAATTCCCAAAATTGTTGTATCAGAGTGTTGAGAGAACTATTATCGTTATCAATGGCGACAGGGCTAACTAATGCTTGCGGTGATGTGCCTTGCGAATATTTTCCTTACACAATCCATCCTAACAATATTTTCTAAATAGTTGGATGTACAAGAGACACCTTTATTCATCACTTGGCCAACACAAAGCAGGTCGAAAAACTTTTCAGCACCTAAAAGCAAGTCTACACTCGCTGGCTTGTGGAATTGACGGTCGGCCAATTCTATATTTGGTGGTATATTCCACTGTGACGAGTGAAATGAAGGAATTGACTTGGGAATACACATATCTAAGATTTGAGTTTAGGGTGTTATAAAAAAAATTAATAGCAGTATTCATATCAACCGAGTCATATAAGAAAGACCAATCGGTTGCATAAATAAGTTGATTCAGCAATGAATAATTTCCTTTGCGAAAGCAACGGCGGGGCTTATTGGCTGATGAGCACGAAATGAGAGGATTACAATTGAACATTGCAACCTCTAAAGTAGGATATACATCCTCAGGAAGAGATAAAGAAGGGACCTAGAGACCTATTCACATTAGAAATAACAAATACAAGGTCAAGTGTTCTATTTAAATGATTAAAAATTGAATTGATTTGAAACAACGAAAGATCAAGCATGCAGTCTATAAAATCGTGCTGTGCTGAGGGCACTAGATAATTTTCGGCAGTGAATAATGACCAAGAGATGTTCAGCAAATTAAAATCACCCAACAACATAATTAGGTCATTATCACGCACGTGTGAAGAAACTTCTTAAATACAAGTAATATGTTTTATATTAACTTGAATATCAGAAGAAGGCAATTAACACCCCACCACCTCGAGTCGGCCGATCATTTCTATGCAAAATAAAACTGTTCGAAAAAACCTCAAAATCAAATATGATTAAATTTAACCATTTTTCTGAAAATGCTTTTATATTCGAAGTGCCGGCCATAAAAAGAATTTTAAGCTTGAAAATGACACCTTTGACATTCTGATAATGAATAAAGATTTGGTCAGAAGATGAAAGATTTTTAGGGCAGTACTGGTACCCTGTATTGAAGGGACTGGAAGGGTGACAGGCTGGTTACGCTTTTTATACCTTGAACCCATTAAAAATGGGTATAAGGGTATATTGTATTTGTGCAAAATCCAAATGTATGTAACAGGCAGAAAGAAGCATCTCCGTCCCCATAAAGTATATATATTCTTGATCAGCATCAATAGCCGAGTCGATCTAGCCATGTCCGCCTGTCCGTCCGTCCGTATGTATGAACGCAAGGATCTCCGAACATATAAGAGCTAGAGACTTGAAATTTTAGATGTAGGTGCTCCTAGTGCCTGCGCAGATCAAATTTCCGATAATCGATAACTTACTCCGTTTCCAAGCAAACGATAAAAATCGATATCGACTTCCTGTTATTTGAGCAAATTGGGTAAATAATAAGATAGAGTCACCAAACATAATATGTTCCTTTTAGAATATTATATATGTATATGTCAAGTATCTTTCATTTTGTACCTATCGCCACCTCTCCGCTACTACCGCAGAGCTATAAATCAAGTTGTATAAGGGCAGCAGTAAGGTTGCTGTACTGGTGCACATATATCTCAAAATCGTTCTGATCGATTTTTATGATTTTTTCAAGATTTATTAAGATGTGTATCGTGTATGTGCGATTATCGAAGCAATTATCCTTGAAATAAGTTATTTAAGGAATGGTGAAAACCTAATTATTACAACCCTTTAGTGTAACCATATTATGAGCTGTAATTAAAAAGCAAATGAATGTGGACAATAAATAATTTGATTTTTAACAATGCAACAATGCATTTAAAAGTGATCGATATAAATTCCAAAAATGTACACAAAGTCACCGTTGCTAGTTTGACATACCTAAATTAGGGCGAAAAAAGGGTCGCTCCGCCAACTGATTTAGATTGGCTTTCAAATATTAAAAATCAAATTTAATTAAGTCCGCTATACATCTATAAAAAACGAACTAGATTTATATATTTATTAGATTAATTATTTGTCATTAGCGAAAAGCCTTAATTTTCAAAAAATAAGTATGCAGCCCTTCCCATAGCAAAACAAATATAATGAATGGCCTATAAATGTCTCTTCAGTCTTGTATGGCTCGTATTGGATGGCTCTGTTAAAATAGGAAGAAATCCAATGTACTCGTGATCTTCAGCTACTATTTGTTAATGCGGACGAACTTGACAGATTGGAATCTGTTGAAATTATATTTTGCGCAAGCTATGGATTCGTTAACACAAATATTCAAGCCTATATAACAAATTTTGAAATGGTGTTGTACGTCAAAATATATTGTTATTGGGTCAAAGTATATTATGATCTTTAAAATCAAATCAACCCGATCAGCCGTTTATTTAAAGAAGTTTGTAAATTCAAAAATTGTTGACCATAGGGCTATTAAATTTTAAATTACTTTTTTCTTGTCTCATCTAACAAATTGCACACATGCCAATAAAAAGACCATCGATGGAAGCTCAATAGCGCCCATATATCGCTTGTGCCGATAGTGCCACAGATAAATTCGGCAATCCCGCTGACATTGCGTAGAAATACGATTGCTTTACGGCTTTGCAGATTTTAGTAACATATTTTGATAACCAATACATTTTTTAATTAATTTTAGACCGATTATTCCCATAGCGGCTATATGATATAGTAGTCCGATATGGATACGATTATGTCAATCAAATAGTGAAGCATAGTGAAACTAAAACTAAAAAAAAAAAAAGATTTCTTAGGAACATAATTTTTTACCGATTATTCCCATGCAGCTTTATATTATGGTTATCCGGTCCGACCGACTCCGACATATGTACTGCGTGCAACAGAAATATGTCTATCTTGTAAGTAGGTAAAGTATTACGACAATAGCATTAAAACTGCGTTACAAATATAATAATAAAACAAGTAAGAGGTCCTAGTCGGGAGCTCCCGACTAGGGAATACCCTGAACCCTCTTATTCCAACATCAAATAAATTAAAAAAAAGGTCCCTTGGCAGGGTTCGAACTCGCAACTGACCGCATTTCTTGCTATCGACTCTACTCAACAGCCACATCAGCAAACAAACAAAAAACAAGTAAGAGGTTCTAGTCGGGAGCTCCCGACTAGGGGATACCCTGAACCATCTTCTACCAACATCAAATGCATATACATATTCTATTTTAGAAGCTATATGGCAAGTTTGGTGACTCTAGCTCTTATTATTTACCAAAATTGCCCAAAAAAACAGGATATCGATATAGATTTTTATCGATTGCTTGGAAACGGAGTAAGTTATCGATTATCGGAAACAAAGTCGATCTGCGCGGGAGCTAGGAGCATCTACATCTAAAATTTCTGAGATCCTTGCGTTCATACATACGAATGGACGGACAGACAGACGGACATGGGTAGATCGACTCTGCTATTGATGCTGATCAAGAATATATATACTTTATGGGGTCGGAGATGCTTTCTTCTGCCTGTTACATACATTTGCATGTTGTACAAATACAATATACCCTTTTTACCCATTTTCAATGGGTTCAGGGTATAATTATACAAGGCTATCAGAAAACAGATGCAGCACAAAATATAAATAATCATATTTAAATATAACAATTAATTAGCTTTCATTTTCATACAATGCCCAATGCACGCGCTCCAAATCCGAAATTGTGTCGTCACAATTTAAAGGAGACTAGAATTCTCTGCTATCGTTATTAAAAACGCCAGTATGCCTCATACAGCTAATGCCATTTGTACGATTTTAGCTCGCTTCCGCCGATTTTGGATAGAATGAAGACGCATACAGAGTAGAAACGCGCTACAAATAAAATGTACCTATCGATGATTCGATATTTTCTAAAATATCGCTCATGCGCAATCATGTAATGTGGATTGTGACACACAGAAGAAATCAAGAAGCTAGAAATCACTTTCTGAAGTTGTCTGCGCTGCTCTAAAGATAATGTGACGAAATTAACAATACACTCAAAACGCGATATTCAAAGCGATTCATTCCCGCTTTGACTGTAACCGCGCAAAAGCGAATTCATACCAGAGACATTATTCGCATGTCTTTTTCATTCTCAATTTTTTGCACATACAGTTAACTAGTCTGTCTCTTGTCGGGATGTCTCAGTCACAGCCCGAACGCGAACGGGGCTCAGGCCCGCTACCTAACCGTTGGCTCTACTGTCCACGAAAAAGTGACATAATTATTGCGGAGCGGTTTCTCGCCTTCAAGACGCCGTTAAATCAGTCTTTCCAAGACAAAATGCCCATTGAATGCACCTTTCGCCCCGAGATGCTCTTTGATTATTGCAAGACGCTGAAGGTAAGAGTTGTCGGTTATATCACACACTTATATGTTTGTTTATATCTTTACCTCTTTGCAGTTAAAACTAGGCCTCTGGATTGATTTGACGAATACAAAACGGTTTTACGATCGAAGCACAGTGGAAGAACGAGGCGCACAGTATATTAAGCTACAGTGTCGTGGTCATGGCGAAACACCATCACCGGAGCAGACTCACAGCTTTATTGAATTAGTTGACAACTTTATCAACGAGCGACCATTCGATGTTATTGCTGTGCATTGTACGCACGGTTTTAATCGGACTGGATTTCTTATTATCTCTTATATGGTGGAGCGTCTGGACTGTTCTGTAGAAGCTGCACTTGCCGTATTTGCCAATGCACGACCGCCTGGCATATACAAGCAGGATTACATTAATGAGCTCTTTCGCCGCTATGAAGATGAGGAAGATGCTCCACAAGCCCCAGAGCAGCCCAACTGGTGTCTGGAGTACGATGACAGCAGTGGCAACGACCACATCAGCACCGACAGCAGAAAACGTCACTACGATGATAATTACTCTTCCACTTCACAGCAGGCTGCAGCGGCAGCAATTGAGGGTGGGGTGGTAGCAGATGAAGAAGATGAAGAAGACGCCGATTCAAATGCAAATTGTGAAGAAGACTGCGCGACAGGCGATAGCCCACAGAAAAAAAAACGACGAAGAGAGTGGATTGTAAAAAATGCAGCCTTTATGGCTGGTGTACCTGGCGTGAGGCAAGTAACGGATCAGCCGCGTGTTACTGAGCTACAGCACAGGGTGCAAAACTGGTGCAACTGGCAGAAAAGCGGCTTTCCGGGCGCTCAGCCCGTATCAATGGATAGGCACAATATTAAGAAACTCAGTGAGATGCCATATAGGGTTTCTTGGAAGGCTGACGGGACACGGTATATGATGCTTATAGATGGACGTAAGGAGATCTACTTTTTTGATCGCAATCACTCCTGCTTTCAAGTAGAAGCCATGGCCTTTGTAAATGGCAAAAATTTGCACGAGCATCTTGATGGCACGTTGCTAGATGGAGTAAGTTATCGCCATCATTAACCATTTTAAATGTTTATTTAATTGAACACTAGTATAACCATTGAAAAACGTTAAAAAGAGTATATTGATTTTGTGGTCTGTATCAGTGTTTGTATGTATGTGTATGTGTGATTTTTGGAATGAATGTGCAGATGAAAGCTAGAATGTTTGTGATGGCAACTCGGCATGGGGTTTGGGGAATCTCCTTTACTCTTCTTTGCTAATAAAATAAAGTATATAACCTTGTTTGTTTTTTATTTATTTGCAGGAAATGGTGCTAGACAAAATTGGCGAGACAGTAACGCCGCGATTTCTTGTTTACGATATCGTACGCCTTGCGGGTCGTGATGTGCGCGAAGAGTTCTTTTTTCCACATCGCCTGGACTATATTAAAAATGATGTTATAGGTACGATGTTAAATAGGCACAAATCCCCTTCAATTGGTAGAACCATCAAATACAAACATAAACTCTCGTCGCAGGTCCACGCATCCTTGCCATGAAGCACGGAATCATTAACCGCGCCCTGGAGCCGTTTAGTGTGCGGAACAAGGATTTTTGGGACATACGTACATCGGCACGTCTTTTGGGCGAAAAGTTTTCACGTTCGCTGGCACACGAGCCCGATGGTCTCATTTTCCAGCCCTCACAGCAGCCGTATACAGCCGGCGTATGCGTCGACGTCTTTAAATGGAAACCGCATGAGCTTAACTCAGTGGACTTTCGTCTTAAGATAATAACAGAGCGTGGCGAAGGGTAAGAAATTGAACATAAATACAGACCATATTTGACCACCAATAATTATATATATTTTGGATCAGGCAGACGAGCTAAGTGGGTGCGTCTGTTTCTATGTACCAGTCTTGCAGCTTAAAAGCTATCCTTATTAAACCATATATTTTACCATATAACATATAGATGGGACAGCTAGAACGAAAAAAGGGTGGCCAATTATATTCTGTGCGTCAGGTCTTACATTGAGCTCTTTTTTGTTCGGGTAAGAGAGTTAAAGAGCAATGATATTTGTGTGATAGAACTAATTTTCCCGTGCGGCCAGTAACCCCATTATTAACAACTAGTTTTGAAGGTGGCGTCATTGGGATCTACAGTTAAAAATACAGGATTTAATTAAGAAAACCATTCTTAAACATAAAGATTGACTAGAGTGTTATAGTCGGGAAAGCCCGGCTAGGAGATAACTAGACATTCTAGCTTTTTTCTATACATACGTACACACACAAGCTCGCACGCCGCTTGATGCGCAATTTAGGCTTCAATTGTGATCATTTATCCAGTTGCTCTCCACTATGAGAATCGCGTTTATTATTACCATAGGTGTTTACATACAAAGGTGTGTACATACCAAATCGGAAGGCTCTAGCTTTAAACAAGTGTGATGATCTTCTCGGACATTCCTGACTAGGGGATACCCTTAACCCTCTTCTGCCAACACCAAATGCAGTCCGTGCTATGAGGTCATTTGCTTTAGCAATAATAAAAAAAAATAAAAAAAACAAATAAAGCTTCCCCAATCGGACGCGAACCCATAATCGACTGCACTACTTGCTATCGCCTCTGTTCGACAGCCCATCAAAATCGTAGCATTAAATATGGAATTTAGACTCTCATACAGTTTACACAGATCCAAAATACAGCGCTAATAGCCTAGTCGATCTCACCATGTCCGTTTGTCCGTATGTATGTATTAAGTAGGAATAAATGGCCATAATTCCCGGTAAGTATAAGGGGAAGAGAATTGAAGACCACTAAAACGAAAACAAGAGGGCTCTGGTCGAGAGTGCCCTGAAACTTCTTCAACCAAAATCAGAAGCAGCTCGCTTGCTTATGCACCAGCAAACAAAATGGAGCTTGCTGCTTTACGATGGATAAAAAGATTTAAATATTAGCTGCCTTAAATTATGTGAAGCTAAGACTGTTGATTATTTGCTGGGACGTTTGTTAAATTTTATTTTCTAACCATTTATTAATTTTCCTAGCCTGTTAACCAAAAAGGTTGGTTTTCTTTATGTGGGCGGTCATGACGCTCCCTTCGGCCGTATGCAAAAGCTTACAAAGGAGATTCGCGAGTTAGACAACAAAATTGTTGAATGCACCATGAACCAATTTGGCAATTGGGATTATATGCGTGAGCGAACGGACAAAAAGTTACCCAACAGCTTTAACACCGCCGTATGTAAGTTTTTCCATAAGTTTAATAAATTTCACAGCCTACATATAAATGTATCCTTGTAGCCGTCGTAGAGAGCATTAAGCATCCAATCACCAAGGAATATCTACTAAGTTTTATTGCGAATTTCGGATTTCGCGATGATCATACAATGATGCCGCCTCCAGCCGTACAGCGACGTTAGCAATGCTAAGCAGCTATCTCATCTCCTGCACCACATCCACCACGTAGACACTCCTGACACACACATTAGGAAATTAATAAACCATAACAAAAAGAATTACGTCTTTCAATATTAAATTCAGTTAAACTCGGTGTCAGCACAACATTTAATCGAGATATATAAAGTAGCTGATAAGATACAGTTTCGTTACTCTTTTGAAACTTAAAATGCATGTCATATGTGAACCTATTTTCAAAATTTTAATTCTAGCTCCAGAGTTTGACGTGTTAATACAAACGGACGAACAGGCAGACGTAGATAACTTAGTCAACACGTCACAAAACCCTTATATATATAATATACCCCTATTATATATAATATGACCCTTATATATATAATATAACTGTTATATATATGAGGTCGGGAGTTCCCGACTAGGGGATACACTGAACCCTCTTTTACCTACACCGAACGCAACACGAGCTGCGGGTTCATTTGTTTTAGCAGTATTACAAAAAATATCCCTTTCAATCGGACTCGAACTCGTAGCGACCGCACTACTTGCTACCGCCAATACTCGACAGCCATACCAGTAATTTATTTTCTATAAAAAACATATTAAAATAACAGCACAGAATACAATACATTTGCAATTATTTGTTTATAAATTTCAATGTGTGTGTGTACGTGTGTACAGGCACGCTAACACGTGTCAATAAAGGCACACGTTTTCTTTAATAATTTCTGTGTTTCCTAACCGATCTTGGTGAAAATTTCAACATCAGATCTAATTGTGCTGTATTTATTTATTCTTAAACAGACAACTTCATTTAATTTGTTGCTAAAATTGGTGGGTAGTTGAAATTAATTAATTGATTTGCTTTATAGCTGCGGCATGTAGGCGGGGGGTGGCAATAGCTATAAAAAAAAAAAATAAAAAAACATAATCGAAATTTTAAGTCTGGCTCTCTTAGGTACATATATCGACGCGTTTATACATGCGGACATGGCTTTATCGATTAAGCTAATTATGAGCAGGAATTTATAAATTGTATGGTGTTGGAACTGCTTCCTTTAAACTGGTACATACCTTTGTACAAAACCATTAAACCCTTTTTGGTAGTTTTTCAAAGGGTTCAGGGTTTAGAGTATATTTGATTTGTGCCCATGTTTCAGGGTAACTACGAATTTTAAAATTAAAAATGATGACAACGCCAATAAAACCCCTCACAAATATGAAAACTTTGTATTCTATTCAAGGATTAAGTCAGTATTGTGTGGTTTCAGACTGATAGTTATCCCATAACAAAGTAGATTCTTTTTCGATTTATTGAATTGTTAATTTCAAAGGCAATATAATCGCGTATTGAGACCGAAAGCGAAATTGGTACCCCTGCGCTCTCACAGGTTAAAGGGCAAAAACACTAAAAGAAAATGTACTCCTAGCTTCGGCTCTGAGGGACGAGCAGAGATTAGAGAGAACAGAGAATGTTTGCAAGCGTGTGTTTATACATATACTAAAGCAAATTTGTAAGTAGTTGTTATTCCCTGCAGTGACTTTTGCTGGCGAAAAAAACCAATTTAGTTAATTTTCTACTCTTTGTTCGTTGGCTCGGTAGAAAATCAATCTTTAAATCCGATGCTAATATAATTTCTTTAACATTAACTATTATTATTATTTGGATTGCAGCAACCATACCGCAAAAACATTATTGAAATATAAATTAAACTGTATATTTTAATTTAATAGATTATTGTAATTTAATCTTTTGGGTTATATATTTAATGATTTAAAAAAAAACCCAAATGATAACGTCAACTCAAAAATACGGTTTTTCAGCCGAGCCAGCCTCAGTTCAAACATACATATATGTATTTACATGTGACAACAAATTTGGGATAGGTCATGGCTAGCTGTAAAAAACTAATAAAATTAATTCATTTGACCCCAATAGCAACTGCATTCCATGCATTCATAATTCACACATACAAGCATAGGTGCTTCACGCCATTCACTGAGACAAGAACTTCTCCAGCATAACACTGTGCAAAATCAAAGGTTAGCTAGATTACGTGGGCAATTGTATAAATACATATTATAACACAAGGGGCGGTATGTGATAAGCATTTTTTTTTTCTTCAAATTTGCCCTAAAATTTACCAATTGTATCTAAGGTAATACACTTTGTCGAGTAATTGTTTGCAAAATGAAAAACAACACACAAATTCATTTTTTAATTTTACCGACTTAAACTCTTTTTCCTTAACTTTTTTTGCCTATAACTATTATTCTAAGCATTTTTCATATATATGTATATATATATATACATGAGTCATAATTCCATAATTCAAAATAGAAAAAGTGAAAAAAAAAGACAAAATTAAAATTCGGCAAATATTGCGCTGTCAATTTATACTTTGCAAAATGCAAACACAATTCGAAATAGAGCCTAGGCTATCTAGCGGTACTTCAAATTCTAAGAAAATTGAAAGAGTAAGTTATTGCTATGTTCACATCTTGCCTAATTAAGTGCTTCTTGCAATGCCTGGCCAACGAATTAATGAAAACCTAATTCAATTAGTTTATCACAAGGGCAATTTTGTTAAGGAATTCGCGAAATTGTTCCCCATAAGGTTAAGAACTATGTATAATATTATTAACTGCGCCGAAAAAGAAAACAGGTTAGAATTAAAGCACTCCGGAGGCAGACCTAAATGCGATCATTCAAACGTTTTAAAACAGATCAACGATAATCCTCAAACAAGCCACGAGACTGCTACTAAAATTTTAAAAATGCATAAGTATTTCTCGCAAAAAGCTAGAAAGAAGTCATTATTGTCTGCAGCAAATATTCAGATGAGACTGAATTTTTCTATTGCCCGTGGAGTAATGGTATGACATTTTTTTTGCAACGAGACAAAATAATAATAACTGTCATGACCGGCCCAGAAAAGTTTGGAGAAAGATCTGGCACAGAAAAATATAATCCCAACAGTAAAGTTTGCCTAGCAAAGGTGTTGGTGTGCTGCGCATTTTCAATGTGGTGACGAAGAAGTTTTACTTGGACATTCTAAAGAATAAATTTTCAAGGAGCGCAATAAAGTTTGGTTTCGTAGACCCCCAAAACGCTAATAAACAGAGGTACAAGTTTTACTTGGACAACGACCCCACACACAAATCATTTCTGTGCAGGACTTGGCTGCTCTACAATTGCAGCAAAGTCATTAACTCCCCTGCCCAGAGTCCTGACGTAAACCCGAATGGATAAAAACCATAAAATGTATGACCTGCATAACCTTATTCAGTCTATGTTTCGTCGTCTGTGGGCTGTAACGGATGCTAATGGCCAATATACCATAGCTATAGTTTCCTAGATTTATATACATATAGAACATATAGACAGCGTTATTTTTTTTTTAGTTTTGTTTGTGTGATGAATTTTGCAATTTTTGTGCCTTCTATAGCATTCATTTAGAGCATGCATTTCATGGATTAAGCGTCGTTCGTTAATACAAAACTTTTTCGGTCAATGTATTTCGAAAACGAAACGCCGCATCAACTAGCTTTGCAGAAGACAGGCTGGCGTGTCGTTTGACGAGCGAAAAGCAAGGTAGAAATTTTGCATAGTTTTCAAATGTGTGGGCGTTACTCATCTTAGTGTTTATATTGTCTTTGGTAATAACATGTTAACAGGGTATTGTAATTGTTAATTTGTTAATTCCAAAACATAGTGGTCTCCTTTCTCTTTAAAGTAATTCGATATAAACATAGACAAACAATATTTTTACGGGGATTTTAATCTAATTCTAACTGATCAGACTGCCATTGTCGAGGAGAGTTTTTTCTCTTAGATGTCCGAGTTGCAGCAAAGCTACTAATGCGGCACCCTGTTCAGCTTGTTTTTTGTTTTTCTCCCAGAAGCTGCTACTATAGCGCTGTCCGTCATAGCTGCAGATGGCCCGAAAAAGCTTGTCGCAGCGCAGCGTCTCATAACAGGGCGGCTGCTTACCCGTTCTACCCGCGTGCACATAAAGCACCATCTTCGGGAGCTGAGTGTCTACAATGGGAATAGATAGATATATCGATTGGTAGAGAAAATAAGGTCACAATAAAAATTGGATAAGTTTAATTAGTTTTCTAGACACGCTTACCACTTGTGTAGGTGGACCGCAGAAAAGCTACATTGCGGTAAATGACACCCTGAAACTCGTCTGTAGAACTGTCAGGCAGCCCGAGCTTTTGTCGTTTAGTTGGACACTGTGTTAGTATTACGTTGGCACGGCCAGCATTTCCGCGATCTTTAAGCTCTTGCTGCCGACGACGACAGTAGTCACCTAAATTCCAAATCTCGCAAATCTGCTGTAGAGTTTGACATTGTAAAAACCGCTTTCCGCGTGGCGTTTCCTGCAACTCTTTCAGGATGCTTTGCACGCAGTACTTAGTATTGTGCGGAGCATTGTCGTAATCAACGCACAATCGGAGATACTTATAAATCACTTCATCCACTGGCAAAATGCCTTGTTTACGAAATATTGACACATTGAACTGGGCCGCACGAGCTACCATGACACTATCAGCGCCGCACAAGGCCTGGAATTTGTGCAAATCATCATACGTGTGCATATCCCGAGATCCGCCGTTAGCTATGATAGGTATGTCTACGGCGCTTGCCACGGCATGTAGGACGTCCGGATGTGGGCGATGCTGAGGCCGTTCATCTCGAGTACGCGCATGGATACCAATCGCGGCAATTCCCGTTACTGCCAATTGCTGCACAAGTCTTATGGTGTCTAAGATATCGGGCAGTATGCGGATCTTGCAGGTAACAGGTATGTCTAACTGCGAAGACAGTGTGCGCAGTATATGGGCTGCTTTCGCTGGATCTGCAAGCAATGCTGCTCCCATACCGCCCTTAATCGAGAACTCCTTGGGACAGCCCATATTTATATCTAAGCCAGCAACATCATACTGTACCAGCTTACCTACGGCCAAAGCTCGTGCTGCATCGCTAGTTCCCAATTGTAGCACTACTTTAGACTTTTCTAAAGCACACGTGCGAAAAACAATCGTGCCGTCAGAAGGATCTACAAAATCTACTGTATTCAATGCGGCTGAAAGGTCAAAAAATTGTTTCTTAGTTCTGTTATTGTAATATATACCTACTTACGATTTGGGCGGCGGATACTTTTTATTAATTTTAGATCGACAAGTTCCTCGGTGTACACGATGTCAGCACCCATTTCGAGGGCTAGCAGTCGCATGGGTAAAGTGCCTACACGCACCATTGGTGCCAGAATTAGTTTGTTTCGATAATCAAGAAACTGGTGTTTCTTCATTTTGATGGTTGTCAATTTACTAAAAATCGACAAGCATTAGACGAAAAGCCTGAAGCCGGGACAGCTGTTGTAGAGCTGGAAAACAATCGATAAGATGTGGTGGCACGATTGTCAAGTTTCGTGCAGCAACGATACTATTTGACGATGAATTTCCGATAGTTTTTACCTATTACCAATGCATCGAGATGAGCGAATGAGAGCTGCTAACTGTCGATAATGAATCATTAAAAATATCGATTTTTCGATTTGGCAGAAGCTATTGTGTATTTAAAGTGTTATAGCCTCTGTCCACTGGTTTAAGAAATGTCACATTTTCAAATTTAACATATTGGTGTTTCACCGGTTGTCGGTAACATGTGAGTGGCAAAATTACCGCTTCTTTAAAAAACAGCTGATCGAGTTTGTTTAATTTACATAGGCGTCGTAAAGTTCTTCCAAATCTCAAAAATGGCGCCCTCGAAGTAAGGGCTCCCTTTTAGGTACTCTTTTCGATATCTCGCCATGTTTAAATTCTAAAAACTGTGGGATTATTCTAAATCTTAATTTCTTATTTAAAGTTGCCGCTTGCTTTCGTTGATATTTCAGCGGTTTATGGTTATGATACTTTCACATTTTTTACAACATCGATAGAAATCTCGATTAATCATCGCAAAAAACACTAAATGTTCGGGGCGAATTTACACATTTCTGAAAAATGTGCATTTTTTGAAAGATGTGTAAAATGTGTTTTCTTATGGGAAAACGCACAGGGCGCATTTCACACATTTGTCAAAAATGTGACATTTTCTGAAATGTGTCAGAAATGTGTTCAGTGGACAGAGGCTATAAGAAACTAAAATAGCAAAACTACGGTTTGCATTTGCAATATTTTTTTAATAGTTATTAATAGTTAAATTAAAATGTAATTGTAAATTAAATTGAATATTTTGTAATTAATGTATACCATTTAATGTTGTTATATAATGAATTGAATTATATAATGAAATATGTATGAATGACTAGAGTTTACAATTCCGCTTTAACCAGACCAATGTAAAATTTCTTTTGCTCACAAATATCTCAAATATTTATTATGTTCGCCGTCGCTTTGGGTCGATTTTACACTCTGTGTGCTAACCTGCCTGACATCATCAAAAAATCAAATTGCAAGGGAGAAAACTATCTGTTTTCGTAGATTGATACAGAAGTGCATCATCTGATCGTGGCGGGTGCTGAAATTTTAACCGAGACGTCTGGCCATACATCTTCTCCCTCGTTGGGATTGCTTGGGGATATCCCACAGGCACTTTTTCTAATTGTTGAAAATAATATAAAAAACAAGCAAAATTTTCATTTATGTATGTATTCGTGCAATATACATACAGACTTTGTACGCATACACTTGTACATTATTTTGCAAATATGGTTTGACTGATTCTGCTAACCTTTAAAATCTTCTTACTCTCCTGGCCTGACAATATTCCTAGTTGTCTACTCAAGGAGTGTAGTTCTTCCCTTGCTTATCCATTGCTAAAGCTTTTTAATGTATCCCTTGAATCTTCTGTCTTTTCATCTCTTTGGAAAGAATCTTATATGATTCCTCTTCATAAGAAAGGTGGGAAGTCTGATATACAAAATTACAGGAGCATTGCAAAACGGTCCGCTATTCATAAATTATTTGAAAAAATAATCACTTCGAATTTGCAGCATTTCTGTAAATTAGTTGTTTCCCCTGTTCAACATGGAATCGTAAAGAACCGGTCAACTACGACCAATCTGCTTGAGTTTACTTTCTTGACTGAATAGGTTTCCCTCCGTCTATTTTTCATTGAATTTCTTTTTATTTAAAAGGTAGAACCCAAAGATAAATGCTGAGGTAACAGGTTCGGATCGTTAAGGATCGGATGTTCTTTTTGATTCTCGATCGATTTTCGATTTTCATATAGCTACAATCGTTAATGAGGCCAATGGTATACCTTGATTCAACGATGGTCTAAAAAGTTATAAGATCCTTTTATAAGGAAACTTCTGTAAGATTATCGCCCTATCCTTGAATACTGCTTTTGCATCAGGTCTCCGCAGTACAACAATAGCCAGGATCGTATTTAATCTGTTCAGAAGCAATTTCTGATTTTTGCTTTACGAGGTTTAAATTGTGACCCTAATCTTCGCCTTTTCTGCCCTTGCAGTGCTGTGCTTTGTGCCCGAATTTAAAACACCTGAAACATCGCTTGAAGCGAATGAACGGACGGACCTCCACCCTGGAGAAGAGAAACTCGACCTCTGATGGTAAGGTCGTGCCTCTAAACCGAATTTTATTTTGTGCAGGGATAGCAATGGATGTCGATCAAATATTGGAGTAGATTTTGGCCGAAAAGTGGCTGACTGATGTCGTTTGTTAATAAACTCTAGATTATTCTACAAGTCCGAGACAGAAAATAACCATAAGACTAACCGATACAACCCCTTTTCATTGCACTCCAAGGCGTTTATCATACTATGAGGGGAAGAAAGTAGCTGAAATTATTGAAGATTTGTTAAAAACAAAAATTATTCGGCATAGTAACTCCCCTTATGCATGTTCCATAGTACTGGCTAAGAAGAAATCAGTAGACATTACCATATGCGTCGTTTATCGTGGTCTAAATAAGTTAACGTTCAAAACAATTTTCCAATGTCCCTTATCGAAGATTGTTTGGAATATTTAAAAAGTAAGAAATGATTTTATATAATTGATGTTAAGCAAGGATTTTATCAGATAGGCGTAGAAGAAAAATCCGTGTATTTCACGTCTTTCGTGGCTGGGCCAATAAGAGTACTTAAAAATGCGTTGTTGGCTCAAGAATGGGCCTGCTATATTTTAAAGATTTATTTTTGAAGAAGAAAGAAGCGTATATGGACGACATAGTGATAGCCACAGAACCTGGAGAGGAACATCAGGCATTTTACTATACCGAATTATAGAATTCAAGCTAGAAGTTAATCTTGAGAAATGCATATTTTTGAAGAAGAAATGTAGGTTTTTAGGATATAGAATCGATAAGCATCGTATAGTGCCTAATGATTCGCTTAATGGATCAGTTTCCATTTAACAAAATACAAATGGGTAATTAATACGTTAAAACCGGCTTTGGCGCATCCACCGGTATTGGCAATATTCAGCCCAGACAGGGAAACGGAACTGTATATGGAAGTAAATACACAGACGCACAGAGCAGATAAATCTTGATATCTCAGCTTCGAGCTGAAAACCCTTGCCATAATTTATGCATTTCGCAGTTTTAGAGTAAACCTTGAACATAGAGCTTTTTAAATAATATCGGACTCTAATTCTTTAGTGCAGACGCTTAGCCGAAAAGCCATTAATCCACAGATTGCTCATTGGTCAATAATCGCATGGTCGGTCGTAAAGTAGCCTGGGGGACAATCGGCCAATCAACCCTTACCCATAGAGGGCGTGGTAGGTGCGTCGGCAGATGGAGTTGACTTAATTCAGCAAACTGATCGGATGGGGGATCCTGAAGTTATGAAAGTCTGGTATCTGTTAGAGCAAAGATATGTACTTGGCTTTGAATTAATATATGGCGTTGTGTATACAATTGATGAAAGCAATGGCTTGCGATATGCTCCTGAAAGTATGGAAGACCAGCTGATCCGCTTAGCGCATGACAAACTGAGCCATTTAACAGCAGACAAGCATTTTAATAATTTAAAAAAATCTTATTGGCAGCAAAATCCCTGCTATGCGGAGCAAACTATAGAAATTTATCCGTAAATGTTTGCCATGCATATTGTACTCTGTTCCAAAAACTATACACAATAGGAGACTTCATAGCGTACCTGTTAGTGGTTGTGGATGGCTTGACAAATGTCGCGTGCCAAACGAAGGTGGAGTTGCAATTTGAACACTGCAAGGTTTACGCCTGGCCACTGGCCATGTTACTCCGATGTTAATAGAGACAGCGTAATGCAAAACGTGCTAGTGCAAGTGTTTTATTCTGAACGGATTATATAGGTTAGAACTTAAATATATATTCCCTCAGAATCTTACCGCAGTCTTCCCTCCTACGGCCTTCTAACTCACGACAATAATGAGCTTAACATTTAAGTGATGGCGGCAACAAGCCAAATACAATGTGCCCGTACATTCACAGGGCAAAAATACATACTTTCAGAATATACTTAATACTAAACAATCGATAACTTAATTCGTCCCGCAACATCCCCGCCCCCGTGAAGGCCCTGCTTCACTCACATCCAATATGGCTAGTTTAGCCACGAGACGAGTCATCAGTCGCACTCGATTGCCGTCCGCCACGCGTACGCTGGCGCGTCAAGGTACTCCATCTGGTCCAGGGTAGAGCTCCTCCACTACGCCCCTTCGCCACTCCCTGCGTGGCACGTCTGGGTCGCATATAAACATCACATCACCATGGCGTATCGGCTCAACGCGCGCACACCATTTCACGCGTCGCACAAGTGTAGGCAGGTACTCCAAGACCCACGGCTTCCAAAAACGATCTCGTAATAGCCGCGCTATGCGCCACTGCTTCCTTGTGGCGCATCTCTCGTTAAAAATCCATTCAATGCCCCTAGAAGATAGCTCACCCTGAATCTTCTCCGGCTCGAATACATCTATGAGCCTTTTGGCTTCTCTATCGGCCCCAACAAAGTTCTTTCCGTTGTCACTGCGCAACCTCAGTACAGGCCCGCTACGGCAAAGAAAGTTCCTGATCACGATTATGCAGGAATCAGTTGACAAGTCATGTGCCAACTCCAAGTGTATGGCCCTTGTTGTCAGACACGTAAACAAGGCAACCCATCTATTTTCCTTTCGACGTCCGTTTGTCACAAGAAGTGGTCCAAAGTAGTCCAGACCCGTAAACTTAAATGGCCATCCATTGGCCTCCAGTCTGTCCTCTGGCAAAGGACCCATTATAGGTGGCGCTGGCTGCGCTCTATGTAGCTTGCACACACTACATCCAGATATTACTGTACGCAACACTCGACGCAGCTTTGTTATCCAAAACCTGGTCCTGATGTCGCCCATCGTTGCATCCACGTTTTGATGCTTCATTTTCACATGGTAGTG